CGAGCTATTATACGCAAAGCTCGATAATAAGATTACGGCTCGAGCTATAATAAAAGACTTCTTAGATGCGAAGTGTAAAAGGCTAAGGGATTACGATTTATAAAGCTTATTCCGCTACGCTTTCTTACGCTAAGATTAAACGAGTTTTACGATAATAAAAGATAATACGAAACGAAGCTTTAAGTTTGCTACTTTTATTAGCCTTAAAGAACACTTGCTATTTAAAGGCGTATAATACTTCTTAAAGCAAAAAGGCTACGCTAATAAAATAATCAAGCTTTTGAACGACGAGCAGTAATATTAATAAACTTTCTAAGAAATAAAAGAGCAATAAGCAATACCTTTAAGCTTCGATTTAAAATAAACCGCCGAAAACTTTACGAACGACGAAGATAATACGTTTTAACTACTTTTACTACTTTTACGAAGTTTAAAAAAGAAAGAAAAGGAAGAAAAAAAAGAGATTCGGAAGTTACGCGAAGAGTTTGCGAAAGAAAAGAAAAATATAAAGCAAAATATAAAAGTAATAGCAAAGCAAATAATAGAATTACGAACTTACGTTATACAATTTAACGAAAGGCTACGATAAAGCATTTTAGCGTACTTAACGCCTTTAATCTATTAATCGCTACGCAATACGTCAATCATTTAAAAAAAGCTAAAATCACTTTAGCGGCTTTTAAATTTCTTTTTTAAAAGCTACACTTAGTTTTTTAAAAAGCTTAAGCTTAATAGCAATAATAATAAAAGTCTTAAGATTATTATCGAACTAAATAATAATCGAAGTTACGAGAGCTATACGCTAAAAAAGAACCCGTTAAAACTTAAAAGTATACCGGACAAAATCAGCTTTTATTAAAGATAACGTGCAGATTTCCGTGCTTAACTTTAGCAACTCGAAAAAGGGATCTAGCATCTTCGGACGTATCGATAAGCTATTTATATCTTTTAAAAAACTATATATTAGCAAGAAAGAAACTAAAGGTATAAGAATCGCTAAGAGCGCGCTTAAAAGTACGAATATTATTAAGCTAAAGCCTTAGCCGATGACTCGAATAGCCTTAGCGATTTTAACGATAACCGACGAAAAGGAAACGGAGGAGATTAGCAAGGAGATCGAAGCTATGGGTACGAAGAAGATAGAAATAAGCCTTTTGGACTATTAAAAGGATTCGGAAACGAACTTTTAAAAGACCTTGGATTCGGAAATAAGCTTTTTAAAAACTTTAAAAAAAGACGGATCACCGGCAATTATATCGATAACCTTTTACCGATTAAACTATTAGCTAAGTAAAGCATACTTGCGTACGGCATTTTAAGCGCTTTTAACGACGATAGCGATGATTTCCTTAAGCTAAGAGCAACAGACTTTCATTTAAAAGCAAAGGAATTAGCTTTATTTGCAAAAAGCTTTTTTAAAGAATTAAAGTATTCGAGACCCGACGATGACTTTAAGACTTAATTAAGTATTTTCGCTAATTAAGCAAGTCGATACGGCTTAATATCCGACGATTATTTAGCAGCGTTCTTAATTATACTTACGAAAGAGGCTATAACCTTTTATTATAATCATATGATTAAAGCTAAGCTTTCGACGTTTAAAGCAAACGCTATTGCTATAAAAGACTATTTCGAGACTGATTATCGGCGGCAAGCAAAATACGACCGCTAAAAAGAAATTTCGCTAGATTTGGTTAAAAAAGAGAATCCAAGGACCTCGCTTAGCGAGTGCTTTAAGAAGCTCGCTAAAAAGCTTAAGAGCATTCAAGGCTCTTTACGACCAGGTTTAAAAGACGATCGAAGTCTTGCTAACAAGCTATATTTAGCTTATAAAAACGTATTAAAAACTACGATTGCACGAATAAATCTTGCGTTTATCTTTACCGCCGCAATTGCCGATATCCGCCGAGCAATTGCATTTGCAATTAAGACCTTTCGACCCGTTAAAGCGAATAAAGCTTACGCGAGCTTTAACGAGCTATACGATCACATTTGCTTTTATAACACTTTAAAATCTGACTCCGATTTAAACGAAGAATACGAATGCTTTATTTAAGATCGCTAATACTTCGAAAGTAAGAAAGCTGCTAATGTGACGACCTTAAGCGATTACTTGAAGGAACTCACGGGAGCGCGGGGGTTTATATGGGAGCTCAGGAGAATCTTAAAGTAATGACTTAGAATCAACAACTACCGAGTGTAGAGGTCGAAGGTAGTTGAGGTTTATATATACGAAGGTAAGAGCGCTAAGGACTCGTAAACCATGGTTCATGGGTTAAAAGCGAGGAATGAGAGAATACGAAGAATACGAAGGAAAAAAGGAAGGAAATAGCTTGGCGCATGTGAAGTGCGTCCAAGAGACTTAGCGTGTCGTTACACTACCCTCTCGTCCGAAAAAAGCTCGTCTTCGAGCGTTTATTTATTGCTTTATTATTACTCAAGTGATCGTAGTTATTAACACCGTCCGAATAAGCCTTGATCTAGTCGAAGAGCTTCGCGAGAAGGCCGAAAAGCTTTTTGTGTTTTAAGTAGAAGTCACGTACTTTGAAAGGAGCGTATATGAAGTCGGAGGCGGAGTACTAAGTAAAGTTAATGTCGCGGCCGAGCTAAGAAGCGCGGTACTTAAAGTGCTTTTTGGTTTAGCGCACGGCTAAGATGTTCTTTACTTCGTACTTAAGTTCGCTAGTGATATTAATCGGGTCAGGTTCAAGAATGATTTGCTCGAAGGTAAGGTCGTTAAGTGCTTTTCGTAGCCGTCCGAGGTAGAAGACTAGGTGAACTTTTATTGACTCGAAGAGCTTGAGTTTGAAGCTGCTATAAACGTTATCGGTAACTTCGAACGGTCCGTTCGTCGGGTTATCGAGCTTTTTTAACGGTTGAAAGGTAAGGAACGAGCGCATGTTTAACCAAACTTTATTATTAACGTCGAAGTCAACCGAGCGCTTTGATTTATTAGCTTGTTTAGCTATGCGGTCTTAAGCGCGCTGGAAGTGCTCTTTAGCGAGGGTCCAAGCTCCGAGGTGGCGGTTAGCGTAGGCGCGAGCTTCGTCTTGGTTAAGCTTGCGAAAAGGGGTTTGGTCGTCAAGTCGTTTTAAGCTCTAATTCTAGGTGGTCCGGGGGGCGTAGCCGTGGATTACTTCAAAAAGGGAAAGGCCGCCGAAAGAGTCGTAAAGGAGCGTCAATTAGGCGAAGTCCATCATAAGAAAGAACTTATTCTAATCGTCTTGATAATAGCTTACGAAGGGACGGAAGCGCTTTTGCAAGTACTAGTTATAGATTTCGGTCTGACCGTCAGTCTTAGGGTGTGCGGCGGTGCTAAAGGTCAGTTTGGTGCCGAGGATCTTATTGAATTCTTTCTAGAACTCGGACTAGTATTAAAGTCTTCTATTAGAAGTCAGTGTCAAAAGAGCTTTAAAATACTTGTAGATATAATAGATATAAAGCTTGGCGAAGCCTTTAGCGTCGATGGACTTGTGATAAAGGATCGAGATTGCTTGCTTAAAGAAGCGGTCGATTATTATAAGAACGTTATCGTAGCCGTGTTTGTCTTTATTAAAGCTACAAAAATCCATAATAACGTGCTTTTAAGAGCGCGAAAAGATTAAGAAAGGTTGGAGCAAACTAGGTTTCTTATCGCGAAGCATTAAAGCTCGTCTGCAAGCGTGGCAGTTGCGGCAGTATTAGTTGACGAATCTAGCTATACCGTGCTAATAGTATTATGCTGCAAGGAGCTTGTAAGTTTTGCGAAAGCTGGGGTATGCCGTAAATACTTGGTCGTAGACTTCTCGGACGAGTAACGAGCGCAAGTTTTAAACGTCGAGAATTAATAAGCGGCCGTCATAAAGCAGCAGGTCGCTTTTTATAATGAGTTTAGCTCGTGAACCATAGTTCACGAGTAAAGACTTAGCTTTAAAAGCTTGAATTCGAAGTGCTGTGAAACTGGGAGCGGTCCGATTAGCTTTTAAGACTTGGTTAATAACTCGGAATATCGGTGAGAGCTCCGCGATCTTTTCGATAATGACGGCGGTCTCCGAAAGCGTAAGTTAGCGTAGCTTTTCGGTCAGGAGTCGTGGGTCAACGTTGTCGGCGCGGAGCAGCGTTTGCAAGCGTTAGGTGCGCTTAAAGCTGTTTTAAGAAAGGAGCTCTTCGGTGCGACGTATTAGCGCGTTAGCTAAAGGGTTGTCTTTACTTGGTTTGTACGTGATAATAAAGTTGTAGTCGGAAAAGAGCTTTGCTTAACGTGCTTGACGAGCGTTGAAGGTCTTGGAAGTCATGAAGTACTTTAAGGCTTTATGGTCGGTGATTACTTGAACTTAGTAAAAGGAGCCGGCGAGTTCAGCGCGAAAGTTATTAAAAAAGCGTATAATAGCTAGTATCTTTTTGTCGTGGACGACGTAGTTGAGCTTAGCGGGAGCTATGGTTTTAGAGTAGTAAGCGACTGGTAGCCAATCGGAACCATGCTTTTAAGAAAGGACTAAAGCGATTACGCCGTCGGAAGCGTTAGTTTTTAGCATACAAAAGAAGTTTTGATTATAATGCTATAAGATTAGCGTAATAATCAAAGCGAGCTTTAAGAGGTCGAAGCTTTTTTAACACTAAGAATTGAATGAAAAAGGAACGTTAGCTTTAATCAAGTGCACTAAAGGCTTTGCGATCACGCTATAATCTCGAATAAATCGACGGTAAAAGTTATAAAATCTAAAGAAGCTTTAGACGCTTTTAACGGTCGTAAAAGGCGCTTAATGCTTTACTATCGACGTCTTATCCGGATCTACTTTTAAGCCTTTAGTAGAAATGATGAAGCTTAAGTATTTTACTTTAGTTATATTGAATTCGCATTTTTTAATATCAGCTTAGAAGCTAGCGTCGTCGAGTCGTTAAAAGACTTAGCGAACGTAATAAGCGTGCTTTAAAGGGTCGGAGGAGTAGATCAAGATGTCGTTTAAATATGCCGTGCAGAAGATGTTTAAGAAGTCGAAGAAGAGGTTATTTATATAGCGTTAGTAAGTGGCGGGTCTATTAATTAGTCCGAATAAGAGAACCTTGCACTTATAAGCATCGTAGCGTATCTTGAATGTTGTAAGCTCTTTTAAAGCTGGGTCCATCCGTATTTTATAAAAGGCTTGCCGAATGTCGAGTTTCGTAAAGATTTTAGCTCTTAAGAGACGTGCGAGGGTCTTATCGATTAAAAAGAGGAGGTATCGATCTTTACGAGTAAGGTTGTTTAGCGCGCGGAAGTCAATATAAAAGCGGAAGGAACCGTCTTGCTTTTTAGCAAACAAGACTAGAGCTGCAAATGGCGCTGTTAAAGGTTCGATAAAACCTTTGTTAAGATTATCGATAAGGTAGGCTTTAGTAAGCTTTAGCTCAAGGATCGATATCTTATATAATAAGGAGTATCGAAGCGCTTTTTCCTCTTTTTCGAAAAGCTCGATTTTATAGTCGTAAGGCCTATATGGTGCTAGCACGTTGCTAGCGGCCTTAAAGAATACGTGTATATAATCGAAGTACTCGAGAGGGATAAGAGGGTCGTTAATGAGCTTTGATAGTTCCGCTGCAAAGTCAATAGCAAAGATAGAGCCGTTAATAAAGCGTGTTAGCGCTGCTTAGTGGTCAGCTTAAGTAGAAGCAATCGTTTAACGCTCGGAGATCAAGCAATCGAGCTTGTAAAAGGACGTAGAAAACAGTTCCACGTCCTTTTAACGAGCGATTATATAAAAGGCGTGTCCGGAAACGCCGTTGATTTTGAGGTTTCTATTGATTTTGTGCTTGGATTTTTAGCGAGAGCGCTTGACGGGTAAAAGAGGTTTTACGGAGGCGGCGTCGATTGACATAAGCTTACGGTTTATCTAAGACATTGATTTAGCGTAGTCTTTAGAAAAAGTGTTTTCCGTAAAGCGAAAGAGTGACGGCTTTACGAAAAGGTGAATAGAAGAAAGGGGTTCAACGATCTTAGAAGAGGAAGCGGAAGGAGGACGATTCCGAAGAGAAAGAGGACGATTCTGAAGAGAAGGAGGTGATTCAGCGACTATTATTACTACTTGATCCGCCCGTGAACTATAGTTTACGAGTGAATTAGCGTCGTAAGCTTTCCAAAGGCGGTCTAAGGCTCGATCACGCTTGTTAGCGTCGTGTTGGTGACGAGCGTTTACCTTACGCTAGTTAAGGTGTATAATCTTAATAGGTTTAGCGTAAGTAGCGGTCGGAAGGTTGGAACGAAGCTAATAAAGCTTGCGGCGAGCGCAATCGAGAAGAATCTGGTGCTCAGTTAGCCATGCTCGTTCGAGGATTACGCTATAATTCCTAAGGTTGGTGATAAAAAAAGGAGTAAAAGATTGGACGCGCTTATCAACCGTAAGGTTGAGAAGTGTAAAATGTGAAATAATGGCTCTACGAGCTCTATTATATAACTTGACAAGGAATAAGGCCGGAAGGGGTTAAATCAAAGGTTTAAGAAAGAAAGAAAGCGATTTGAATAGCGCTAAGTCAATTAGCGCGTACTTATTAGCTCTTGAATCGAGCAAAGCAGATACCTTGTACGAAAGGCTATTCTTGGTGAGGGTGACGGGTATAGTCATGGCTTTACTATCAAGGAGCTTCGTGAGGTCGAGGTATCGCATATCTCGAAGCTGGCTTAAGAAAGAGGCTTTACTTAGGCCTCGACGTTTCTTTTATTGTCGGGAGCGTCGGAGTCAGCAAAAGGGAGCTCTTGGTGATCCTTAAGAGCGTCGGAGTAGGGCCTATCGTCCGAGTCATCCGAATAAAGGCCGTATTCAAGTCTAGCGCCGTATTCTATCTCGTTAACTGAGTAGTAGCGGGGGAGCTTCGGCGTATTCGAGTCTTTGCGGGACGATCCAAGGGTTTTGATTGTTGACTTGGGGGCGTTTCCGAGAAAAGAGAATTTGTTAGATCGATTAGATCGATCTGCACTAGCGCTAGAGCTGTTGAAGGTTTAGCGCTAAAGGGTAAGGAAAGAGACGGGGGTTAAGCTACCTTAGCGGTTCTCGTAATGAGTGATTTGCTTGACCGCTGCTCTTTAGGTCGAGCGGGATTCGTTACGAGCTCTATTGTGAAAGCTCTTTGCGAATTAGGTATTATACTTGGCTTGTAGAGCGTCGTAAAGCCTTGCAGACGCGTATTGGCCAGCAGCTAACTGCTAGACGGCGGTCTAGAAGTCCTTGAAAGTTGTAGTTTTAGCAAATTCCAAATGAAGCTGGTCGCGTAGCGTTTTAGTGATTTTAGAACGCAAGGCCTTACGTAATCGGTCTTCGTCTTTGATTTCGGCGGTAGCGGCAAGCTTCGAGAAAACAAAGTAGAAGTCCTAAAATTGCTAGTTAAGCTTTATATAGAGTTTTTCGAACTCAATTGACGCTTTAGCTTTCTTAACGGGGTCGTTCAAGAACTCGAAAGCGATCTAGACGAGTTCCGAGGCGGTTACGAGGTTGCTACGATCTATGACCAAAAGGGCCAAGAACAAGTGGGCTGTTCTTTCGGTTTGGTCAAGGACGTAGTTCTTGCGTTAGCGTTTTGTAAAGAAGTATTTTTCGAAAGCTTTTAAGTTGTCGAGGACGCGGGCTTGCTAGTGACGTGCTCGGTAGCTTACGCCGTCTAAGAGCTTCTGTTCAAGGTTAAAGATCCGCTCGATACGAGCGCGACCTTGGGAAGCTAAGGAGGAGGCTCTAAAAGTGTTGAACTTAGCTAGAATGCGAGGGTTGGTTGGCTTATAAAGAGAAGGTGGTTCATCGTCGTCGGCGAAAAGGCGGCGAGGGTTGGCGGTTCTATAAGTAAAAGGAGTGGCTTAAGAGACTGAGGGCTTGTATAGCTCCTTGCCTTTAGAATTATCTTCGAAGGAAACTTAAGGAGGCTTTGACGGGCGTTCCGTAGTTGGCAGGACCGCTTAGAGCTGGTCTAGTTCCTTTCGAGCTCGCCGGGCTTCTTTTTCAGCCTTTTTAGCGAGGGTTTTTTGTTCGCTAGCGCTTTTATCGAGCTCTTCGTTGCGGGTTTTCATGTTTGCGAAAAGCTTTCTGAGCTTAACGGCCTTTCGTTAGGACTAGAAGAAAGCTTGGTATTAGGCCAAAGCTTCTTCGAAGTTGGTAAGGGCCGAGGGATCATCTTCATCGTCTTGCTTACTAGTAGCTTCTTCTTGAGTAGAAGGAACTGCTGGTTGGGCCGTGGAGGAGGAGGAGGGAGCTGCTAGAGCAGCTTTAAAAGGAGTACGAAGGATTTTGCTCGCGGGGCGAGAGTTGCTATGTTGTGTAAGTGCTATCTTTCAAGTTATACTTAGAATAGGCCTTCTCGTGACCGTTGGAGTCGTCTAAGTGTTTTGACGTCCAACCACTAAGGAATTCTGAAGAAAAGGAATATTATTAAAGCCGTTCCTGGCGGAGTAAGGTAGTTGTTGATAATATGACGACCTTAAGCGATTACTTAAAAGAACTCACGGGAGCGCGGGGGTTCATATAGGAGCTTAAGAGAATCTTAAAGTAATGACTTAGAATCAACAACTACCGAGTGTAAAGGTCGAAAGTAGCTGAGGTCTATATACACGAAGGTAAAAGCGCCAAGGACTCGTGAACTATGGTTCATGGGTCAAAAGCGGGGAATGAGAGAATACGAAGAATACGAAGGAAAAAAAGAGGGAAGTAGCTTGGCGCATGTGAAGTGCGTCCAGGAGACCTGGCGTGTCGTCACAGCTAAAGCTATTATTAAAGGTAAGAAAAAGTATTTTATTTGCAAAAAGCTAAGTTGCTAAAGCATTAACCATACTTTCGACGAAAAAAAAGCATCCGTCGCTAAATTCTAAGCTTTTAAAGACGCAAAAAGAGTAACGAAAAGCAAATTCTTTTAATACGTAGCATCGATTAAAAGCTTACTATTTATATTTACGAAAGAATTCGATCAATTTATCGCAAGCTTATTAAACGAGCCGCTCGAATCGGGCAGCTACGCTAATATATCAAAAGGTTTTATGATTACTTACGGCACTTTTAACGCTAACGAAGTATATAAGCAACTAAAGATTCAAACGGCATTTTACGCCTTTATTAGCCAAATCGAAACCCAAAACGTGCCTACGAGCAAAGCAAAGACTTATATAGCCTTTAAATACTTTAAAAACGTGTTTATAAGCTTTATAATTGATAGCAGAACAGCCAATTTCTTTACCGCTAGCTTGCTTTAGCTACGAGCACTTTAAAAAAGGTATTTCGAAGTTTAATTAAATACATCCCAAGCAAAAGAGAAGTCCGTTAAATATAAGATTAGCTTTGCCACCTTTATTAAAGCAATTACTTTAGAAACGCTTTTGAGTCAAGTGGAGTTCTACGTTATAAAAAGCGACGTACCTTTTTTATTTTTATTAGCTAATATAAATAAGCATAAAATGATCTTAAATAACTTGCGAAACGTGCTAATGCAAGGAAAAAAGGAAATATTAATAATAAGAATATTTAAGCACGTATAAATGCTATTAAGTAAAAAGCACGCTGCTATTTATTATAATATCGAAGGCGAGACCGTTTATTACTATCTTACGGAAAAGCAATTAAGGATCATTTATAAGCGTTTTGGCTATTCTTTAATAGATCGATTTGCTATTATTTTTAAAAGGGCCGAGCACGAATTTAAACGGGATTTGCTTTATAATATTTAAAAGTTTTACTATTATTATTAAGTCTTTAGGCATTCTTTTAAAAGATTTAGTATCAAGCTTAAAAACGATATTGATTTTAATAATACGATATACGTAGACGTAATGCATTTTAACGGTAAAAACGTATTGTACGTCGTTTGCGATTCTATTAATTTTTAAGCCGCTACTTTTTTTAAAAGCATATCCGCATAGCATTTACTTAAAGGATTCAATAAATGCTAGGTCAACACTTACGTCGGACCTTTTATAAACGTCGTGCACGATCCCGGAACTAATTTTAATTCGGCAATATTTCGAAGCTATTTTAAAGGTATTAGCAGCACTTTAAAGCAGATGCTTATAAAAGCCTATTATAGCGTCGGGCTAATAGAACGCTACCACGTTCTTATGCGACGCGCCTTTAAGATCGTTATAAAAGAGCTTTTAAAAGCTTTAAAGGAAGACCGGCTTTAAATAGCTATTAAAGCTATTAACGATACGGCGAGATTAAATAGCTTAGTCTTTACGCTTTTCGTTTTTAGCACTTTACCGAAGCTAACGGAACAAGATCGACTTGCCGCGTTTATTTAAAAGCGTGCTGCTGCTATTAATAAGGCTATAAAGAAAGTACGAAAATGCTACGCCGCGAAGCAGGTTAAGGACGCGCTTAAAAAGAGGAATGGATTAATTACGGAGCATACCTTAGACCTTTTTATTAGTTTACGAATACTCGTATAGCGAGAAAATTAAAAGTAAAAGGGCTCTTTTCAACTGCTTAGCAAGCAAGGGCATACGTGCATAATAGCATATCCGAGACTTACGGAATTCAAGTCAACCTTAATAAAACCTTATTACTTTAAAGTTGAAAAGCTGCTAGAAAAGTTGCAAGTACTTAAGGTAAAAGCGGAGAAAGAAAAAGATAAAAGCGAAAGCGAAAAAGAGCTAGAATTACGAAAATCGCTTAAACTTTAATATTCGCATAATTTACCGAGGTCGCTTAATTTAAGAAGCTCGCCAAAACTAATAAATAGCCCTCTTAACCCTTAACTTGCCAATCTTTAAAAGTTAATAATACTAATAGTTTAGATATTTTATTAAAAGTACGATTCGAGTATTTCGACCGTGCTTGATAAGAAGGAGAACGATTTTTACGTGCTATTTACTAAGGACTTCGAAGTATTGATTATCGATAAGGAACGCCGGGACTATAAGCTTTTAGCTAAGCTACGAGCTGAAGGAATCATTAAAAGCTTCGAGGCACTATTTTAAGAGTCTAAAGCAAAGGAATTGGCTGGATTAATAGCTTAAGGCATCTTTTAAATGATTTCGAGCACCGACCTACGCGCTAAAGGCGCTAAGATCTTCGGATCTAGGTTTATTAACGAAATTAAAGGTAAAAGAACACTTACGCTATACGAAAAGTCTCGTATAGTAGTCTAAGCTTTTTAAAATAAGGGCAAGACGAGGGTACTTACCGAATCTCTTACGGTATAGCGAGCGGGCCAAAGACTTTGTTGCGCTTTGGCTCTTTTTTTAATAAAGGATTACGAGTGTTAAGTTTATAATAAGGATATTATATAAGCTTATACTTAGTTAAGCACGAAGCTTATACGAATAATCGTCGTGCGACTACTTAAGGAGATCACTTATCGATTTTCTTTCGGCACTTTGTTTTTTATAATTAGCTTTTTATACGGCATCCTCGAAGCAGGAACGCACTAGTATAAGCGTTTTTTAAAGCATTTTACGGATAACCTCGGGATAAAGCAATCGAGCTTTAATTCTTGCTTTTTTATATCAATTAATAAGGATCAGCTAAGAATAGCTGCTTTATAGATAGACGATGTTTTTATGGTTATCAATTTAGCTATAAGGGCAAGGGAGAAGAAGGAGCTAGTTAAATCCAAGCTAAGGAGCAAGGAAATAGAGACCTTTATATACGCCGAACCGATGATTTTTAATAGATGCAAGCTATCTTTAGATAAAGACGGGTTCGAGCTGTTAATTAGGCAGAAAGGGCAAGGTGAGAGGCTTGCCGTAATCAAGCTTGATTTAGTTATACGAGCTAAAGAGTACTTGGAGCAACGTGCCCGAAGGGCGTATTTAGCTACTATTTGCTACTTAAAAGCATCTTGCGCTTTATCGATGGCTGCTCAGCATTAGGAACTAAGGGACGAGGATTATAAGGCCTTTAATAAGGTGATTTAGTGGCTAATCGATCATCCAATTCGAGGGATCTATTACGTGCTTTTGGACTTAAGGACGGCGAAGCTCTTTATATTCGTAGATAGAGCGTTTGCTAATAACGCTGACCTTAGCTTTTAGATCGGTTTCGTGGCTATTTTTAGCAATAAGGCTTACGTAAGTAAAAACGAGTTCATTCTGACGGGTAACATCTTCTATTAAGTGTTACAGAAGTGCAAGAGAGTGACAAGGGCAGTATTAGCCTTTGAGCTATACGTTATGTCCTTAAGTATCGATATGGCTATTGTTATATCGACCACTTTTATTTAAATCACAGCTTAGCTAAAAATCCTTAATTTCTTCGTAGTGATATGCATTGACTTTTACTTGCTTTACGAGTGCATAGTAAAGCTAGGAACTATTAAAGAGAAGCGCTTTATGATCGATATTATAGTTATTCGAGAGTCATACGAAAAGCGGGAGCTCTTTAAGGTACGCTGGATCGGAAGCAAATTCAACCTTGCTAACGCTATAACTAAAATCGGGGCTAATTCTTTTTTGCAAGAGCTAGTTTTGATTAATATTTTAAAGGTGCAAGTGGACGGGTAGGTGGAAAGGCCGCTATAAGAAAGGGAGGAATAAGATTGTTTTTCTTTTATTTGATTACCTTTCTTTTTTTTTCGGTCGATATGGTAATTAGCAAGGCATTGCTTGCTAAAGAGAAAGTTGCCGGTATCGGTATATCTATATCGACTTTAGCTAGCTAGTAATAGTAGTTAAGGAAGCTCACTTATGAACTATGGTTTACGAGCCATTTAGCATGCTTCGCTTAGCATGTTAGCAGTCAAGGGACCTCCAACTTGACAAGTAAGCTTATTAGTTAGCTAATGCACGTGATTCTTTTTAATTATATAGAAGGAATCAGCTCCTTTAAGCATTAGGGAGCAGATAGAATTCAGATACCTTATTAACCGAGTGTTTTGTAATTGCAAGTACTTTGACGACCGTTACGACCTTACGAATATATATTCCCAATCGCTTGGAAGCAATCTAATAAATAGCTTAAAAAGATATATTTAAATTCTAGCGGATTTGCTATTAAATTATTAATTTAAACTTATATATCAACGTTTTATATACTTAAATATTATATAATATCATTTTATAATTTAAATATATTTTATTAAGTTAATTTATTTTTAAAAAGGGTTTTGCTTACGTTTAATTCTTTTTAAGCAGCATTCTTGCGAGCGTTAAGTTTTAATTAGCGGTTTTTTTTTTTATCTTTTCATTTCTTTTTATTTCCTTTTTATTAAAGCTTAATTATAATTATATCTTTTAATACTTTTAAGCTCTTTTTACTTAAATTAACTATTACGAACAACCTTTTTATATATAAACCTTAATATCGGTATATCTATATCGACCTTAGCTAGCTAATAGTATTTAAAGGAGTTCACGGGCCACTTAATATGCCTCGCTTAATATATCATATCAGTTAAAGGACCCTTAACTTAACTAATAAACTTATTAATTAGCTAATGCGCGTAATTCTTTTTAATCATATAAAAGGAATCAGCTCTTTTAAATTTTAAAAAGCAATTAAAATTCGAATACTTTTACAACCGAGTGTTTTGCAATTGC